GTAATCTTTTTTTTATCCTTTATTTTTTTTATTCTTTATTTTTATAACATACTACAATCGACATTTTATTTTATTAAATATGAAATGTATAAATCCTATGTTTATATAAAAAATTTATCTGAAATTATTTCTAAAAATATGCATTCTTTATTAACGAAAAAAAAAAAATTAATTTTTTAAGATATATTTATTTGATATTCATCTAAAATTAAAAGATTATAATAAAAAACATAACTTCCTTTTTTGAATAAAGTATAATGATATACTTCCTACAAGTGCACTTTATATTTAACTAATCCTTCTTTATTATATTTAATTTTATTCTCTAATATGAATATGTTAAAAATGGTAAAAGAGCAAATAAAATCCATTATTATAAAATAATAAAAATTACTTATAGGAGGAAACAAAAAAGGCTAAAGTTTTTAAAGTAAGCATTTGAATAATAAAACAATACAAAAAAAAAAAAAAAATTAAATAATGATAAAAAAAAAAACTTTTAGTATGTATAATTATTACATAATTATAAAACAAAAACTTAAAAATGACATAAAAAAAAAAAATAAAAATAAAAATGTATTTATAGAATATGTTTCTATTTTGTTGTGATATTTATTTTTCGTTTATACCATAATCCTTCTAATGTTTAATTTAAATTATCATAACGTTTTTTATTGAATTAGTAACCACTGTCGTAATAAATTCAACAAAGATAAAGTTGCATGGTTTTAATAAATAATTTTTAAAAAAAGAAAAATAAGTAAAAAAATATATAAAAATAAAAAAAAAAATTTGAAAGCTCTATATAATTGTATCTAAATATAAACTATTCTAAAAAAATTTTAAGTAAAAACAGAATATAACATTTTATTTTTGCATTTATAAATAATTTTTTATATTATTCTCTTTTAATTTAAAAAAAAAAATTAAATAAAAAAATGAAATGAAATATTTATTTTGGAAGTATATAAAATTAACTAAAAATTTATCATTTTTTGATTATTTAAACAACATTTCTATTATCAAAAATATAATTATAAATATATAATAAATAAGAGGTTATAGTATATAATTAATAATTTTATGATTTAGGGTGTAGAATTTAGAATTTAAAATTTAAAATTTTTATGTTGTTATAGATTTAGCTTTTAATAGATATTTCTCCGTTAAAATTAACAGAAAAATTTTAAAACTAATTTTTTTCTTAAAAATCATATTGTTATAAGTTTTTATTTGTTATTTTTTAATTTATATTTTCATATTTTTTGTTTTTAACGTATATTATCCTTACTGAAAAAAAGGGGAATTATTTTAAAAATCATTAAAAAAAATATTAGAAATAATTCCTCAACAATTTTTTTTACATTTTTAGAGATACCAAAAATGGATCTTAGGCTTAGTGATGCTACTAGTATTGATTCTAGTCATAATATAAATGAAGGAAATTCAACTGTAGGTTTCGCTCATAGGGCAATTGAAGGTGCAACTGTTTCAATTCCAGAAAATCCATTATATGATGATTTAGATTTACGTGATGCCATTCAAAATCCATCTGAAGATATCAATTTGGATTCAAATTCATCAATGAATCTTCATCATAAAAAGTTGTTAAGTATTTTTCAGTTAGTTATGATTATTATTTCTTTCCTTCGTTTTGCGGTAAAATAAAGTTTATAATTAAAAATATATGCATATTTTTTCATTTTTTTTATGTATTCATTTAATTATAAACATTATATATATTGTAAAGAAAAAATTTTAAATCATTTGTAATAATTTATAGAGAACTTACTCTCCTAAATTGAGAGCTAAGCATAAAGAGAGGGTTAGGTTGCAGAATAAATGGAATAATAGGGATAAAAAGATGAATGATGATTGGGAAAAGATGGAGGAAAAATGGAATGAAAGGAAACAAAAAGAAAATAGAGAGAAGGAAGAGTTAAATAAAAAAAAAGAGGAAAGGAAAAAAAAGACAAGTTATGAGATGGAACAATTTAATAGGAAATGGGATGGAGAAAATTATTCTGAAGAGAAATCCTGTAAATTTTTGAATTATTCGTGCATAAATGGAAAATGTATTAAGTCCTTGAATGAACCAAGTACAAGACAGGCATATAATAAAACTGTTAAAAAAAAGAAAAAAAAAAAGGTGCTTTTGGATATTATAGAAGAAAAATTGAAAGGAATATCCTTTAAAAAACCATTATCAGAACTTGAACTTGAAAAAATGAGAAGAGAAATGCTCTTTCGTCAAGTGGTTGAATTAAATGAGAAATGGAAAAAATATGAAGAACATTGTATAATAATGAGTCAATGGGAAAAAAACAAAAGAAAAAAATTAGAAGAAAAAAGAAGAGAAAGAAGAGGAAAACACGAAAATGAAATGCTAAAAGAAAAAGTAGAGTGGGAAAAGAGTATGAGAGAAGAAAAAAAAGAGTGGGAAAATATCATGAGAGAAAAAAATAAAAAATGGGAAAAGAACATGAGAAAAGAAAAAGAGAAATGGGAAAAGAGCATGAGAAAAAAAAAAAAGAAATGGGAAAAGAGCATGATGGAAAAAAATGAAATGTGGAAAAGAGATGAAAATATAAAAGTTAATGAAGAAGAAAGTAGGTTGAATTTAAAGTGGAAAAAAGAATTTGATAAGATAAAAGCATAAGAAGGTAAAAAAATAAGAAAAATATAAATACATATAAAAATAATAATAGGAAAAAGCATTTACATAAGGTAATTATTAATTTTTTTTTTGAAAATATTGTATCTTATTTATTTTTAAATGTTTACATAAGAAGCTTGTTAAACTAAATTTCATATAATTTAACATTTTTATTTTATTTAACTTTTTATTCTCTACTTGTTTTATATAATATTAAAGAAATATTGTACACACAATCTTTTCATATTTATATATTTCTGCTTTTTTTAAAGATGAGGAAAAACATAACCCAAAATGAAATATTCCTTAGTTTTCTTTCTAGAATTTGTCATGTATTTTACATGTATGTATTTTATGTATTATAATTAATCTTATGTATAGATGAAATGAAAGATTTACTTGTAGATTATTTTCAAAATACTGCTTTTTGTTAATCTATTATGAAGATGTCTCTATTATAGTTTAAATGAAGCTTTATTTCATTCTTATCAATATTTATATCAGAAAGATAATTTATTATCCATTTGCATATTCTATAACTTACGTATCTATTAAATATATAAAAAATATAATATTTCATTATATAAATACCATAAAATCTATTAAATTAACCAAAAAAAAAAAAAAAAAAAGAAATAAAATAATATAGTTTTTCAAAAAAGAGGATATATAATATATATATTATATATATTTTAACTTTATATTTTTAAAGAATCATTAAAATAAGATACAAAAAATTTTAAACATAAAATGTTATATAATATTTTTCTTATTGTAATTTCATGTTTATATTCCATATACATTTATAAAAATGACTACATTTATTTTTAAACACATCATTTAATAGTTTAATTTTTATTTTTCATGAATTGATTTATTAACTGGGTGTTCGGTAACTCTGTGATTAATAAAAGGCTTCATTAACCTTTTTGGCTATAAAAGGACTAGCTATGTGGAGAATACATAGTTAGTTGTGCTAACTAAAAAAAAAAAAAAAAAAAAAAAATGATTGGAATTTTTTTTTGAGAAATGTTTCTTTCGAAAAAGATAAGGATAAAAAAGAAAAAAAGAAAAAAAGATTTAATTTTTTTTTTTAAGAAAATCAGAGAGAGAGATTTTTTTTTTACAAAAAGATAATGATATTTTTGTAAAGCGTTTAATTTGCATAATATTTATATTTTGAATTTGTGAGAGAAAATTTTATACATATGAAGATAAAATTTTCACGTAAATAATATTCATATAATTTATTTGCATTTTTAATAAGTATTTGTGTTTTATTAATTCAATAGCAATATAAAATGATTGCTGAATATAACTCATAATAAATAAACTAGTAATTATAATCAATTAATAGTGAATGTTAAATATGTATTTAAATTTCTAATAAAAATAAGGATTTTTATCAAAGTAAATAAATACTTATTGAAATAAAAGAATGCTGAACGAAGTAGATTATAATTAAAGATCACTCGTTCAAAGCAAATAAAAATATATATAAATATACAAAAATCGTAGACACATCTCTACATGCTCTTTATTAATTGGTTTGTTCAGTACTCTAGCAAAGTCACCGTACACCCAGTTAATAAAACACAAAATCATTGAAAACACAATTAATAAATTAAGGATCAAACAGTCATTAAGTTAAATTGCATATATAAGATATAAGGAAAAATTTTATTTTTATATTTCATGTATTCCTTTTTATTCTGATGTACAAAAATTTGGTATAATAATTAAATTATATGCTTACGTTATAAAAGATATTATAAATATTTTATAAGATAATATTTACTTATACAGAAAATATGAATAATCTTCGTATAAAGAATTACCTAAATAAAAAAAGAATTTTTATGTTTTTTTATCAATTGATTTTTTTAATTATATTTCATTTAATTTTAATTTAAAAAAAATATGTTTTTTTTCTATTATTGCCATATAATATTTATATATAGTAAATAAATTGTTTTAATAGAACTAATTAGCGAAAGAATTAATAATTAAAATTAAAGTTAAAAGAAAGAAATAAGAATTTTGTTTTTTTATTATTAAATTTCTATTCATTTTATTTTAAAAGACAAATAATAACTTGATTTTTAATATATTTATTCATTTTAAAAAATTATTTCACATATAATTGTTTTATTAATTACCCATTCAATAGCTTCATAAGAGTATTGAACTGATAAATTAATAATCAATATATAGAGTTTTCCTTATAATTTGTGTTTTAAATAGATATACACTAAGTACAAGTGTTTATTCATCTTAAACAAAGTTTAAATTAAAATTATTTACTATATTTTAAAAAATATACATATAAGAATTTAATAACAAAAATAAATAGAAAATCATTTTTTTTTTTTTATTCTAAAAATTTTAAATTCAATTTAATTTTTTTCTAAACTAATTAATTAGAGTTATATTACATGATAAAACCAAGATGTATTTCACAATAAAAATATATTGTTACCTACAAAAAAGTTTTATTAATATATTTTAACTGGAAATTAACAAAAAAAAAAATGAAAAAAAAAAATTAAAAAAGGAATTTTAACCTAAATTAATAAATAACTTTATTTTATTTTATTTTATTTTTCGACTTATGAATATATATGGTTATCTTTATTTTTTAAATACATCTATTAACAATTATTCTAAAAGGGTTAATAAAGCCTTTATCAACCATTGTTAAAAAAGTAATTTATTATTTATCTATTTAATGAATTTTGTAGTATATTGATTTATTAACATGATTTGTAAATACTTTATTAGAGTACTGAACTGGATTGTTATAAAAGATTATAAGCAATTTCTTATAATAATTTAATGACCGTAAAAATTACAATATTACAATGACAGTACAAACTAGTAAAATTTATACTTATAGTTTACATTATTGATAATTTATTACTTTTAGAGAATTTTATTTACTTTAATAAATATTTTTATAATTAAAAATATAAATCTTTGTTAACCACTAATTTTATGTAAAAAACTTTTAGTAATATTTTCATGAAAAATAATTTTAATTATTTATATTTATTCATTCAAATTAATTAAAATACTTAAAAATTAAAACACAACTCAATTTATTTTAACTTATATCTCCTAAAAGGAATATTAAAAAAAATCTTCATAAAAATTATAAAAAAAAATAATTTTTTTTTTTAAATTAGAGAATGTTTATCGTAGACTTTGTGTATTTCCATGTAGATATTAGCTATTGTTCTAAAATAGTTAATAATATCTTTCATTCACCAATTAATGAATAAACAAATCAAAATTACACTAAATTCTACAAATTTGATTAATTGTGAAAGTATTTTTTCACTAATAATATTTAATTTTTATATAATTAAACTATATAAAATGAAATAAATAACTTGTATCACATGACTTTACTACCTTCTAAATAAAATACATAACACAATATTTTATTTATTTCTAATACAATAATAAATTTATAAGAGATTTAAATAGTTTTACTAAATTTAACTTATTTAGGAGCCTAAACATTTGAATTAGATAGTTGATTATATATGAAATAATTCTATTACGTTAATCTATAAAAATTATTTAAAAATATATTTAATAAATTATAATTTTTTATTCAAAAAATAGTAAGTTCATTATGAAATTCTTTTCTATGAACATATACTTAAACATCATTTTTTTTTTAAATACTTATTTGAAACATTTTTTAATGTGTGAAGCGTTTATATCTATCTTTTTATTTTATTTATATTTAATAATATTTAAAAAAATTTAATGATGCTCTTTATTAATCTAATAAAATACAAATATTGAGATATTGATTTCTTAGTTGTTCAAATACTTTTGTATAATAATGATTAATGAAAGATATAATTAATATTTTACGAAATGGTAGATAATTAATCATACAAAAAATAACAAATCAATTATTAACACTTACTGCTTAATAAAATAGATAATTAAAAAAAGAACATTCAATGTTTTCATTTTGTGATGTTGCAAATTTCATTTGTTAATTATGATTATTTAATTTTAATTTAAAAAAAAAATTATTTTTTTTTTTTTTTTTGTTGTTAAAGGGATTTTTATTAAGGAATTAAATTTTATTAATTGAGTTAACTTTTGAATCCATGAAAATTAAATTAAAATTTTATAAGAAAACAAAAATACTTAAATTTTTATTATTATTTAAATTTTATATATTTTTAAAATTTTTTTAATAATTTTATTTTGTATTTATTATTTTATTTTTAATATTATTTAGAGTATAATCAATAGCATTAATTATAATTTAAGCTTTTGATAAAAATAATAATAGATTTATATTAGTTAAATAAACTCCTCTAAAACAATATATATTCTTTTATGTAAACTATATATATAAAATTTACTTTAATAGTGAGATATTTTTATCATGGTTAAAACTAATAGAGACTATTCGACATGCTCCTTATTAATTTTACTTAATATCTTGGCATATTTGATGAACAATCAATTAATAGATCAATATGTTAATGTTCGTATAATATGATGTATAAAATAGAGTATTTATGATTTATTAATCTATTGTCATATAACTTCGATATATTATTAAAAGAATAAATTAATATAGAGCATATAGAGTGGTCTCTATTGTTTTTAACTGTTATAAAAATATATCTCTATTATATAAAAAATAAATCCTATATATATAATTTACATAAAAGAATATTAGTTAAGAGAAGTTTATTTAATACAAATTTATTTTTATTAAAAGCATAAATTATCATTAAATCTATTGATTATATTCAAAATAATATTTTAAAATAACATAATAAATTCAAAATTATATTACTAAAAAATCTTTAAAAATACATAAAATTTAAATACTAATAAAAGTTAAGTCCTTTTTGTTTTCTTTAAACTTCGAATTTAATATTCCATTATTTCAAATATTAATTCGATTAATGAAATTGAATTCTCAAATAATAAAACCCATTTTTCAATAATCTAAAGAAGAA